GTAACTCAGAAGGCACTCCAATATCGAAATACTCACCTGGCTGAGAAGCCCCTCGATGGAACCTGCCATTTTCCGGCTGCAGTTGCATGCCCGTTCCAAAGCATCTGTTCGGGTTTGGGACTGCACTGGCACCAATATGCAGCCTGGAGGTCAGAGAGGGAGGCTGCATTTGGAGGTTGAATACTCCATTGATACATTTATGTTATAACTAAAAAGGATTTAAAAACTGAATTTGAGATTTTGATTTTAAAATATTGGCACCAGCAACCTCCTCTGGCCCACAGTGCAAAACCAGGGCTCATCAGCCGACTGAACTTTGCTAGACATCCGACACTCTTATCCCTCTTATCCCCCTTAAACCTCCTATTACAATGGAACTCCAGACATTTTTAAAACTTTTTTTTGCATAAAGTGGGTGTTAGAATGATTCATTGACAACAGCGAGAGAAAACCCCAAAGGTTGGGCGCCAGCTGTCATTTTTAAGGAGTATTGGGGACCTGGTTCCGGGGGTTTGTCCATCCTTGCACTAATAGCAATAAAAGCCTAAGGCCTTGTTCACACCAAATGCAGAGCAGATCTGCACGAGTTTCTGCACACGCAGTGCAGTGGGTTGTGCCGCGTTTTTGCTGCATTCCGGGCCGTTTTTGGTATGAAAATTTATTTTTTTAGTTTAAAAAATGGGCTTTCAGTGCATTCCAGGGCGTTTGCATGCGTTTTTGATGCGTTTGAATGCGTTCCAGTGCAGGTAAAATAGGGCCTGATGCAGTTTTTTTACCTGCTCTGGAACTGCACGCTGCGGTGTGAACTGGAGCTAAAAATACCATTGGAATACATTGGACGCAGTTTTGCTCCGGTCTGTGACTGCTCTGCTCTGCTCCTGGAACGCGCTTGGTGTGAACAAGGCCTAAAAGATGATCTGATCTTTCCAAACTCCATCCAAAACCAAAACATACAAACTGTGCAAGTGATGCCCGGGTACCTCCATATACGATTCACAGAGATGAATGTCATAGCAGCATGCCGATACCACAATGACTGTAATGGCTCAGCATCCATGCTTGCAGCGTTTACACACACACAAGCTACGCACTGAGCATCAAAGCTGAAACAACAACAGAGCTCATCACAAAGGAAATCTAAGAGCAGCATCCAGTGTACACAGAGCCGTAAATCAGATATCACAGAATTCTGCTCTCATAGATGCACCGAGATTTAGGACACAAGGCTCGTCTGCTAGGAAAGCCTCTGACATGAGCAATGGTGATGTGCACAGCGTAGTAACCCATAGCAATGGTCTCGTTGGTTGCCCTGTGTTACAGCACTCTGCCCAGCCTACTGTCAGCAAGCATCAGAGGGGGCACAATGCAAGCATAAGAAAAAAAAAAAGGATAACCACAAACACTATAACCCAGACATCTTCCTACAAATACTATGATATAATGTAATGTAATGTATTAATAATAAAATCATAACACGTCTCACACACCATTCAACTGTACTGCAATTCATTCCCAGCGTGTACAATACTATACTAAACTGTGTTACACTACACTGTACTATACTATACTAAATTGTGTTACACTACATTGTACTATACTATACTAAACTGTGTAACACTACACTGTACTATACTATACTAAATTGTGTTACACTACATTGTACTATACTATACTAAACTGTGTAACACTACACTGTACTATACTATACTAAATTGTGTTACACTACATTGTACTATACTATACTAAACTGTGTAACACTACACTGTACTATACTATACTAAATTGTGTTACACTACATTGTACTATACTATACTAAACTGTGTAACACTACACTGTACTATACTATACTAAATTGTGTTACACTACATTGTACTATACTATACTAAACTGTGTAACACTACACTGTACTATACTATACTAAATTGTGTTACACTACATTGTACTATACTATACTAAACTGTGTAACACTACACTGTACTATACTATACTAAATTGTGTTACACTACATTGTACTATACTATACTAAACTGTGTAACACTACACTGTACTATACTATACTAAATTGTGTTACACTACATTGTACTATACTATACTAAACTGTGTAACACTACACTGTACTATACTATACTAAATTGTGTTACACTACATTGTACTATACTATACTAAACTGTGTAACACTACACTGTACTATACTATACTAAACTGTGTTACACTACACTGTACTATACTATACTAAACTGTGTTACACTACACTGTACTATACTATACT